AATCATAGCGAAATTTCGATATTTTAAGCACGGAGGAAGAATAATTGGCTAGGAGAGCACGTGTGGAAGGGAGAATGGGAGCAAGGTAGGCAAGTGAGGTCCAGTCATCGAGGAGCAGGAAGGAAGGAGTGACTGATGTCATAGAGGGCCTTTTCAATCAAGAAGTAAAGGGCGAGTCGCAGGACTTCTTGGCAAGATGGCCGCTGGTCGCTGGTTGCTCTTTCCAAAGACAGACAAGCAGTTAGTTCTCTTCCCAAGCGCTGGTAAGAAGAGAGTAGTGAGCGATCTGTTTCTTTGTTTACATGACGCGAGACGTGTAGAGGAAAACAAACAATGACTGTCATCAAAGCAGAAGATGTGCCAGCGCATACGTACATGAGCACAAGAGCTCCCCCAGTGTGACATCACATCTCATCCCACATGGAGGGGTTTGCAGACAAAGTTCATCACTATGATAACACTGGCTGATGGATGGGCCCATAGGATCACTTGAAAGTGGAAATTGAGCAACTGGCTATGCCATGAAATAGAGTAAGGCTGCAGAGAGACGGGAGTACAGAGTCCACAGACAGCCTGTTAGTGGACAAGTGCACGAGTAGTTTAGTTTAGTGCGACTGCTCTTGTCCAATCAGCAGAGGAGTAAGTACAATAACCCCGCACCACTGTCTGAGGCAGCGATAACACAAATCCCCTCAGCGCGCCTAGCACTGTAGCAACTAGCAAGCCCCAGCACAGCTCACTTCTCAATGGCCTAGATGCTACCATCGAGCCCCGAGAGCCTCGGGAGTCTTCTAGCTCTTCGCTCTCTTCGCACATGGTCATATCCTGACGGCGCAGTTGATAGTTTCTAATCTGGTCGTTTTTTATTTTTTATTTTTTTATAGCATTGTCCAATAAGAAAGTGTACACAAGCCACTAATAAATTGGAGCTCCACTGCTGAATCGGAGTCTTCGGGGAGCCCGACATACGAGGATATGATACCATCATAATAAGGTAGTAAGCTTAGCTAGTATCCTGCTCAGACCCTCTTACGGAGATTATTGTCATCATCCTGATGACAGTCCAGCTGAGACTGGCGCGCATGGACAGAAAATAGACGACCGAGGACACCTGAGTGGGCTTTTGCTGAGTGTGTCAGAGCTCCGGTTGAAAAGAAAAAGAATTGACTATATCCGTCGGCTGGGATGAATCATTAATGCTTTTCCTCGGGTCAGAAGATAATTGTTCTCAATGTTCGTGCACCTCGTCAGATGATACAGATAGCCCAGGATCTCGTCATGACGCAGAACATCAGCCGCATTCGTACCATGGCCATTGATTAGACTTTCAGCTTAGATCCTCCAAGCCACCATCAGACTAGTGCGATGAGGATTGTCGCTGAAACAGAAAGGAGAAGCCATGTCTCAAGGTTGAGGAGTCTCTTCCGGTCGTCAGATAAGATAGCGACCGACGTCAATGGAGCAATCGCACTTTGCCTGGTTCAAAGTCAACAGACGCATTCAGATCAAAAGCTGGGGAGAAGGTGTCATTCAACCTGTGGGGATTGTTGAATCGAGCTGACACTTTTGTCCGAAGTAACGGAGATGGTTAAAACAGGACTGACTTCGTCCGAGGGCGCGATAGTTCGGTCAGATCCTTACTAGGTAAGGTTCAGGTCCCAAGCTAGGCATTATTCTGGGCACTGTGAGCAAAGTACTCAAGGTCCTTAACAGCCTTGTTATTGCCGTCTAAACGCCAAAACAATACTGATCGTCGAGCCCATGACTCCATAGCTTTATTGGCCTTCGTCATGATCACGTAAAGGCCCGAGAAGGTAGCTTAGTGGATACAGTAGATAGACATAAGACTTAGCGTCAATGTGTTATTATTAGTGTCTCAGACTCTCAGTGAGGCTGTCGGCGTTCATTGATCGTCACCGTGGGGAGCACCTGCGAGGCGGACAACCCCCGCAGCACATCGATGAATCCCGGAGAATTCTCCTCAACCCCTGCGAATCCCAGGTAATTGATGAAAGTTGACTTGATTGAATAAACGGAGTACCAGGTTCATAAAAGCACTGTGAAGACTGCAGCACGGGGGCCAACCAATAACAGAATGCCCTTGAAACCGTTGCGAAGGGATGGTATGCGGAAGAAACCCCTAGTCAAGGATCGAGGAATGTCTGCACCCAAGTAAGGGCATACAAAGGATATCCAAAGCGGGGGAGAGTTGCGAACGCGACAAGGCCAATACTCAGCAGGATGGACTATGACGGAAAACCGCTTTGTGCTGCTGCTAGCTTGTGGAGGTTCGTTCACTCGCACTAGCAGAATTGCGGGACTTTGATCAGAGGGGCGATATCAAAACAAGGATAATGATCTCAGTCAAGAAGCAAGTGCAAGACTTTGATCAAGGATGGATAGATTACAGAAGACTGACCATCAGACCTCATAATGGCCTAACACAGATGCCGGAGAAGTAGCTAGAAAGTTGGTTGCGGATCCAGAATCCAGACGGAGATGTCATACCTCACTTGACATGCCTCAGGCACAAGGCAGAGAAACTGTTTTACAAACGGGTTTGAAGTTATGTCTTGTGTCACCTTCCCCTACATCTCTGAAATGTAGCTAACACCCTTCTGGGCCGACTGTCGGCATAATCGTCCTTAAGGGAGTCCCCATTCTTCAATCTCCTTTGCTAGCATATTTCTCCGTACACAGGACGGACCTGTTATCCTTTTGACGAACAAACTGGACAAACTCATGTGATTCCGCATAAGCTCTTTGTCCCGACAGTGGAGCGGGTGGAGATTTTATTAGTTTCGATCTTACTATTTTTTTGGGACAGTATGAAACTCGAATTAGAGGAAAAGAGACTAAAAAAGGGCGAAAGATCGGCCGAATCAATCAATCATGGATTGCTTTTTCATAGTCTGTTCCCGATTGTGCCGTGTTCTTTTTCCTTTCTCTTCGAATCGACTTTTTCTAGAAAGGGTTCTTTCAAGGGTCTCTAAAGGCTCAAACATTGAAACACTGCAAAGAAGGTAAAAGTATGCTGCTTGACTTTATCCTTTACCCTAGCATACAACAGGGTGATGAAAGAACCGCAAAGGTAGGTAGTTATCGTAGTATTGCTTGTCAAAGCCTCAAAGGAAATCTACAATTCTACAGCCCCGACTAGTCAGCGCGGCTGAACCTCTCTACTCCGAACAATTGAGCCTCCTGCGATAGGGTCTACAGCGGGTGGTATCTAGCGTCTCAGTCATTATTATTTGCTTATTGAATTGTAATACTGTCCAGCCCGATTTCTTACCGACTATCAATTTTATTCGAGACTCGCTACCATCTGTCGGCCTTTTGCTCCAAAGTCTCAGCCGTCAACGCGAATAAGAAATGGAGACCTAAGGCTTTTCTCAGGCTCCATTCTGTCTCCGTACCAGTCCGCCGACCCAAAGAAATCTTCATACGCCCCGTCCAAGGAAACCACAAAGAATGGATCAGGAAAACGTAGAGAAAAACTAATTCCTTCTGTAACCCGTGAGACACTGCACGACCCATACTTGATACTTCATCCAGCCAGCCCAGATTGGTAGAGACAAAGTGGGCGGCGCAGCAACGACGCTGATAGGCGAGGGGTTGCTGAGCAGCCGGTAGCGCTGATAATGGCGGCAAGGGAGTCCCGGCAACGAGGCCCCAGACGCTGGCTACTGGCTGAGTACAGGCACACTAACTATCTATGTACTAGGTACATGGTACCTAGACTAATTACCTACAGCTACAGTGGGGGACGAGGTACAGGTACCTCGCTGTCCCATACTGTACCGTCTGTACGGGTACCTACTTACGTATGGACTATGGAGTAGTCCATACAGACTGTAACCTGTATGGTACCTACCCAGCTAAGGTAAACTCCCTCTCGTCATAGGTACTCTCTAGGTACCTCTCTGCCTTGCTACCTACCTACTACCTACCTACTTACTACAAGCCCCTACGTAACTAGGTGCAAGTTGGTCGTAGCCAAGGGTTATCCTCCGAGAAGGACTATATGGAGATTAACCTCACAAGTTGATATATTGGTTTCCTAGAGCTTGATTTTATAAGATCCTTCGTGGTCAATTATTTTGAAAAGTAGACCTTGCCGACTCTCTTTTCCTCTGTCCTCTGTACAGACCGAAGACATACCTAGATACGGTTTGGAGGTGGTATTCATCTATCTAGCGCTGCGTCGTCGCTTAAGCTCTTTCTTGAGCATCTGGAGATCCCTCCCCACTTTTTCGTTGCCATTGCAACAGGACATCCCTTCAGCTTCACCTTTTTCCAGGTCACACTTCCTTTTTCTTCTCACTCTCCTCCTCCTTTTCTACAAGTCGTCGTCTTTCTCTTCGAGTTTAAGACCTCGCCGTCTTCTCTTTTCCCATGGTCACTACGCCTGTGATCCTCTCTCGGCCTCCATCCCGCTTACGGTTCTCGTTTCCTCATCGGTAACTTTGTCCCCCCCGGCCTACTTAGCGTACCAGAACTATCCTCGCTTTCAGCTTGCTGGTTTGCTGCTTATAGGGAGTGGTTTTGCTAATCAATGCCCGTGTTGATCATCATAGTCCTTCTTCCCGTCCTCGAGTCCTCCTTTATCCTATACCGTCTTCAACGATACCCTGATTGGTCCTCCTGCCCTAACCTATCTACGCAACCATGTCCCTCTGAACACTCGACCTTCGCAGTGCAGGGAAAAAGTTCCGGTCCAGGCCGGTGGATTCGTGGGATTCAGAAAGGCGTTTTCCACGATTTGTGAGGTCTGGAATTCAAGCAGGACACGCAATTGAGGAAAAAGAACAGAGAGTCGAAGACCGGGTTACAAGGCGTTTGACCATACTTCATCTTGCCGTTGTAGTATATGCCAGGTAGAATAGTCTGCAGCAGGAGCTGTCGTTTGCCGAGGAGATCCCCTTGCGTCCGCTTTGCTACTTCGGTCGATACTACCTTGCAGATCTAGGAGGGAAGGCAAGATTTGTTCCTAGCGAACAATGGAACATTCATCTCCGCTGGCTGCCATGCAGCCCCCGTCCGTGATGTTCGGACACTGCTTTCGTTCGGATGCTCCCACATCGTACCCAACCTTTGGTCCAAGGTCCGGGCTTGGTCCGAACAGTTTCAACTTCAAAGACTTGTCCATGAAGAAAGCCTCCGGCGATTATTTTGGCATAAAGCCGGTTCGAGGATCGTCTCCAACGGCTAGTCTGGCAGCGGACCTGTCCCAAAATTTTCACATTGACCAAAGGTTGGCAGATGCCCTTCGCTGTTTATTCTGTTTTCTTTGTCATGCTTTTTGACTTCTTTGACTTGTGCAAGACAAAGGGTGTGTGCTGACCAAAAATAGTCCACAGTTGGCTACGCCCCGACGGTCTTTGTTCTCCTCCAATTTATTCGGACATGGCAGCGGACGTGGTAAGAGATGACATTACTATCGAGGACACACTCGTTCGAGTCCCAGTCTTTGCTCATATTGTTATATAGAAGACGCGATGACTACTCCTCCTCTTCCATCTTCTTCACCAGCTCCCGTCATGGAGACCATGGACATGTCTCCCTTGCCTCACAAGCCGCCGTTCATTGTCACAACGGAAATCGAATTGAACCCACCTACACCAGGAGGTTCTCCAATCGATTCGCCCATGATGTCGGCTGCTCCCAGTCCGCTTCAAGAATCCCCGTTGATGGGCCCAAAGGAGGACAAACAAGAGTAAGAGAATGAAGTCTATACACGCTGGAGATTGGTGTCAACCATGTGCATGTCTAATTACATTTCGTGTGTGTAGGAGAAAGCGTCCGAGTTTCTTGAGGCCCAGTCTCGCGAGAACCAAGGCTCAGTCCTTCCAGCTCGGCATGGCGAGACCAGCACCGGAAAGTCAAGCACCGCCTTTCAAGTTCCAGACCCGAGGGGCTAAGACGTCGTTGAGCGCTTCAACTTCTTTGGAGGATATGTTTGGGGAATCGCCGCAGAGAGAAAGGCCGATTGTACGCAACAATTCCAGCACTCTCCTGAACAACCCTCGCCTTAGACCGCCGCTCGGCAGTGGCAGCAATGGGAGCCATGCCCGTGGAAACGGATCCCCCTCCGCTGCGTCGATTCGCAAGAGCTCCCACCCCCTGATGCGCCCTCGGAAACAATGCAGACGGTCACTGAGCATGTTTGAGCACCCTGAGGATGTGATTGCCGAAAAAGAGGCCAATTATACTACAAATGCACCACTTCAATCGATCACAGATGTCGATACCACACCCAGCCTGCAGCTACCTCACTTCATCCCTGAGGACTCGGCTGATACATTGCCTCGCATCGACAAGACAATCCTCGTGGATCTCATGGATGGGAAGTACAACGATCGATTCGACCACATTATGGTTGTCGATTGCCGGTTTGAATATGAATACGAGGGCGGCCACATCAACGGAGCTGTCAACTACAACGACAAGGAGTACCTGGCCGCTCAGCTTTTTGCGGACCCAAAGCCTCGGACTGCATTGGTTTTACACTGCGAATACTCCGCACATCGGGCACCCATCATGGCCAAATACATCCGTCACCGGGACCGCGCTGTTAATGTGGACCACTATCCACAGCTGACTTACCCGGATATGTACATTTTGGACGGAGGTTACAGCGCCTTCTTTGCTGAGCATCGATCGCTATGCTTCCCCCAGAATTACGTGGAGATGAATGCAAAGGAGCACGAATTTGCCTGCGAACGTGGTCTCGGGAAGGTCAAGCAGAGATCGAAATTGAATCGCGCACAAACATTCGCTTTTGGCCAACATTCGCCTCAAATGGAAGACAGCCCTACTGGAAGGTGCCGTAATAACTCAGGCGAACGTACCCGTTTCTTGGACTCTCCTTTTGAGGGAACGCCCTCCTCTCGCGGTCCGGGCCGCCGTATGCTGTCGTACTGATTACCACGACCAGCCGATTGGCTTTTTCTTTTCTCTTTCTTCTTTTGCTGCCCTCGGCGCATGGATTGATGATTTGATGCTATTCAAGCGCGGCGCAAGTTCTTTTGCCAATTTTTTTTCTTGAGCCTGATCTCTTTTTGCTTTCTCCTTCTCCCTGCGCCTTCCAATTCTATCCAGACCCCTTCAGGCAGCCGTTATCCTCGTTGGACCACCAGACCCAGCTGGACATTGGGGAAAATGACACTTTACAGCGCCTTGCGGCAGAGGACATCCTCTCACCGTCTACTACAAGCTCCTTCCACTCGCTTGATATTTCCTTTTCCCTTTTTTTCACACCTTCAGACTCTCACACCGGGAGTGTGACCGCGGCGTCGATATCGAACCCTGGCGGCTGCGACATACCGACCCACACGACCTTTGATGACACGATCAGCATTGACCTTGCATCTCTACGCATTTTCTCGAGCTCGAGATTGTATCTTTGACAGATTCATCTACGGCCGATTTCGATCTCCTTTCCTCCTTACCAGCCGCTCTCTTACAATATTTCCTATGTGTCCTGCGACTATTTTCTTCTCATTGAAACCAGCATCTGCGCGGCAATCACTTGCATCCACTATGATACCTCGCCATCATGGCATTTCCTTACTCGGAGCTTGAGTTTCCTCATCTACACCCCCTACAAGTGTTTAATCCCTCCTCCCCCGTTCCTGTACAATTCCTGAGGAGTGAGTCCAAAATCTCGCCGTACGAAGTACATATCACTACGCGGCTCGCCAGATCAGAAGGGCGATAATTTTGCGCGCATGACAGCTTAACGAGTGTTGAATCAGCAAAATTCTTCGTGGAGTGTCACTGCAACTGTACATATAAACGCCTCGTGGTCGGTTGGTCCATCCGACTTCTAATGGAGAGAAAATTGGGAGAGAATTCAGAAGCTGAAGATTATGATTTCGTTTGTTGGAAGAGCATCAATGAAAAAATCTTACAATACATATTTTCACCAAGTGTAGAATGTATCTTACGTCCGTAATATCCTCTCCCATGGATGCCTGGATTTACTCGAATCGGACAAAGGAAGAATCCTGAGGCATCAATCTCCGCTCCGCTTTGTCTTCAATCTCCGAATCCCTCCCCGCTCTCTCTTCCCAGTGACATCCACTAGCCATTGTGCTCCCTCTCAAGGCTCAATGCTGTAGGACATCTGTCATGGACATCGATGACATTCTCGCGTCCGTCGACCGCCATGACACCTCGCCCGAATCCGCGGCCCTAGACCACCAGCTCCTGACGCGTCTCTGGGTCGCTGAGCGAGCCGTCTCGGAGCTCCTCCCATGGCCTGGACCATTAATGGAACGGATGATGGAGCGAGTTAGGAAGCAGGTCAGCATTTTCAACCTTTTTACAAAAAGACACGAGTCCTGACAAACCTACAGATCGAAAAAATCGAAGACCTCGCCGCCTCTTCCTCAGACCCCTACACCACAACAGCAACAAGCACCAACAACCCCACCCTCAACCTTAAACTCTCAATCCTGCAGACCGACCTCGCTCGCACCCAGTTCCTCATCCGCTCATTCCTCCGCCAGCGCCTCGCAAAACTCACAAAACACAGCATGCACTACCTCCTCCTCGTCGCGCCGCCCCGGGCCTCCCCCACCCCCTCCTCGCAGCAATCCCACACACAAACACCAGAGGACTCCATACCTGACCCCACCGAGAACCCGGACCCGGCCCCGCTCTCCGTGCAGGAAGCTGCCTTCCTGCATGCGCATCAGACGCTGCTGGCGGGGCACTACGGGGCGTCGTTTCTCAACTCGTTCCCGCCGCAGCTGAGGCGGTTGGATGATAATGCGGGCGGGACGAGTATGGTTCAGGGGCCGGAGATGCGGGAGGCGGTTGTGGTGAGATGTCTTGTGGAGGAGGTGAGGGTTGTTATTCCGCCGGGGGATGGGATTGAGGAGGAGCAGTTTGGGACGACGATGCGGATGGGGGATGTGTGGGTTGTGAGGTGGGAGGGGATCAAAGGGGCGTGGGAGAGGGGGGAGGTTGAGGTTCTCTGATTTGATTTTATTTTGGGGGGAGACTACACTACATAGCATCTGCCGGCGTTTTGAGGAGTTGATTTTATCGGATGGTACATACATACCCAGACAGGCTGTATATGAAGTCAAATCACGCATTCGATATGATTGTGATCATTCTTCTAGCGTATGGTAGTTACTCTTGTAGATAAGCCCCCAAGATCGCTATCAACATGCCAAAGGGCCATTGTAATCATCACTCGCAGGGGCAAAGATGCATTTATTCGTGAGCTAAGACGCGAGCAAAAGCTGTATCAATGAACCATGATCTCCCTTTCGCCAGTCACCGCTAAGTTCAATAATATACCATGCAAAAGTACCGTGAGGGGATTGCTCGCCAAAAGAGACCAGTATGAGTATGGCCATATGTCCTCGTAGGTAAAAGCTGAACGAGTCCAGATGCGACTGTGATCAAGCAATGTATCCGTAGGTCGGAGGGTCCTCAGCCACACGCTCGAGATATTCACGGTCAATCAAACTCTCAATCCGTTTCTTGACCATATTCACGTCGGGAACGAACCGTGCAGACAACTGGCCAAGCACCTCGCTCATAAGACTCGAATGGACCAGCGTCTTGCGTTGCCTAAAAGCCAATTAGTTTCATTGCCACTGAAAGACTTGAGAAAACTTACTTCATGATTCGAACAATTGCCGCCTCAATACTGGCCCCTCGCTCCTCATTCATCTTGCTCTCCGTTTCCTTTCGCTGGTCCTGATTTTCGACCTTGTTGGCACCACCACTAACAACCCCTATACGGACCTTCATGAACTGGCTTTGGAATTCGTTATTGAAAAAGAACCTGTCCGTGGGCTTCACATCCTTGCTCATGGGTTCCTTCTTCAGAACCCGCGTTTTCGGTGCGACAGCCAGTGATTGCAAGTTGCGAATCAGGTCGTGCTGTGGAATGCGCGTCCGCTCCTGAATCTCCTCGAACGTGAGTGACTCGCCTGTAGGTACGTCATTGAAAAGGAGGAGTATGATCATGGCGTATGTTGATACATTGAGTTCATGCCGTTGGACCTTCCCACTCGATCGTTGAAACGTCGCCCGGATATCAGCGGTTCCCATGCTCGGTTGCCATGATAGCTTGCGGCCGTTGTGTTTGTTGAGATAGAATTGCTCAAAGCTCTGTTTAACGCTCTCAACCTCTTTCGGAAGGATACATGGGAGCTGGACTTCGCCTTCTTTGGGGTTCGACATGATCTCCATGGGCCACATGGTGCTGGTGAGGACGTTGATTTCCAAATCAACCCGTTTCTGATCCGGGTCCCCTGACTTTCGTATATGCTCTTTGTAGCTGGCAGACAAGTCTTCCGAGATGGTCATGTCCTTGAACATGGCCTCCAAGCGCTGTGTGAACTGGTTTCCAACCTCCATCTTCATCTTCGAGATCATCTGCCGTTCAGCATCCATGCTGGCGGACCGCTTCATGAGGAGACGGCGAGAAAGATGTTTCTTGTAGTAAGTCTCGAACAAATCCTTGTCCTTGATGTACCGCAGCAGAGTGATGCCGTTGTCAAGCAGGGAATCCACCTCACTTTCGGTCTTGCCTTTGATGCCTTTCTTCAAATTCTCGTCGAAGAAGAGAGAAAGAAACTCCGAACTGCGTGCATTCGAGTTGATGAAGTCCGAAAAGCTAGTAGTGATGGCACTTTGCATGCCCTGGTCCGACAAGAAGGCCTTCTCCCAGATATTGTCGAATTTCCTCTTGAGGGCTAGGATATCGTCAACCCACTTGATAGCAGCCACTGTTTGCTGGTTCACAGGCTTTTCCTTTTCCGCGGGCTTCTTCTCGCCGCTGGAACTCTTTTCCGTTGCTTTCGAACCAGCAGATATTGACGACTTCTCATATGCAATAGACGACGCATTGATCTCTCGACCCATTTGACTGATCCGTTTCTGGACGGCCGTGGTGAGAGGAGACTTTTTGTTGTCGACCCGAGCGCTAAGTTCATAAATGTCTCGCAAAATATCCACCCGATCGTTGTCAAGCAAATTCCTGACACCCGTGCCTTCAAGGTTGATGACCTCTTCGATGTTCCTGGCAATTAACTCTTGGTCGAGAACATTCTTGATTTTTGGCTCAGTAAGGGGCGAGAGGGTATAATGGCATCGTTCTTTCTCTTCGGCAATTCGGTTCGAGGCGATCCGACAAAAGGAAGCTGCATCGGCCATTTCCAACAGACGCTGCCCTTCAGCTCGATAGAAAACCTTGCTTGTTTCGAGGAAAGTGGGTTCAAACATGGTAAGATAGAGTTTTGATGACTCCTCCTCTGTGATGGTTTCGTAGAGACCCTCAAGCATGTAGATACAATGCCGGATGAGGGGACGGTCAATGACGTGACCAGATCGTTCCAATTGAATCATGAACAGCACGGTGGTCTCAAGCACATCGGCAACTGTGGTTTTTGTGTCAGGTTGGATGGGAGATCGCAGAACTTGATCGCGAAATAACGCCATCGACGCAACATATATTGAAGGCTTTCGAAAGTCCGCCATGATGATTCGATCCTGTACGATAAGAAGATGTTAGGTAGGAGATCCAGCAAACACAGAGAACTGATGGACAAACCATGTACATAAGAACGTCCGTAATCATTCCCATGCATAGTTGGTGGTCTTCCCATGCACCCTTGAGCACAGTCAGGAACTTCTCTCCTGCTTCTCTTCGCTCGCTGGCTTGGTCTTGGATATCTGCAGGCTCCTGCGCCAGCAGTAATGTCGGCGAAATTGCTGCTGTCACTGTTTTCTTCACTTCGCTTCCCAGCCATTCTTCCTCCAGCTTCTTTACTCGTTCGTAGAGATCATCACCGCGAGTCATCAAGACGATTCTGTAGGCGTTCCGGTACAGCTCTTCGAAGGAAAGAGCGGAGGCATTCTTTGTATGTATTTCATTCAAAGAAGATGACAGCACCCCCCATATTGTGTCAAAATCGTCAGTCTTCGCCGCACTCAGACCCTTTGTGAATCATTAGCTAATTGCTCGTCTTAAAGGTCAAGAGGTTCCGTCATCCCAACTGCTGTCGCCAATTCGACACACGATCAGTAGCATAAAGACGCCCAAATAGAACATGAAAAGGACAAAGAACATACCCTCCGTGGGGCACGAATCTTGTGCCTAGCCCTCATAGCCATCTTTGAGATTTTGGCAATTTGCCATCCACCAGATTGTAGAGTTGGGGCACTTCCGCGGGGCAGAGTAGTAGAATGCCCGATGAGGAGTGAGGTCGTGCCAGAAGGGCGGCGAGAATGAGCAGGGGCGGGAAACTTCTAATGATGAATATCTGCAATATCAAGTCGTTCTCTTCATCATCAATACGATCATTAATGAATTGTGTTGATGGTATAAGATCAGACTTGAAAGTTGCTGCGGAGTGAAAAGAGCTGGAAGAACCTAAGTCCGGCGCAATTTGGAGAAACCGTCGTCATCGCCGCCGGAGATCATACTTTTAGTCCTCAGTTTGCAAATAATCTTTTGATCTGGCTATTCACTCGCTGAGCCAATTCTCGAACATTACTCCGCCTCTCATCTCTATCCTTCCATCTATATCCTCAGATCCAATAACTCATAATGCGCTCAGCAAGAATGCTATCATCCGGCCTCCGTGTCTTCAACTCTGCACTTCCGCGGACAGCGCTCTCACAACCCAAATCGCGACACTTCTCTCAGCTTCTCTCTCACACTACCCAACCCTCACCAACCCCTCTACCGAGGCTCCTCCGGACTACATTTCCCCAACTCACCGTCCGAAACAACTCCAGCTCATCATCATCCTCGCCAAACCTCACCGATCAAACCCCAAACGCCGCTCAGGACGCAGCCAACGAAGAACAGAACAGGTTACGCCGCGAGCAAGAACCCGCATACCAGATTACATTCACCTGCAAACCATGTGGCCATCGATCTTCGCACCGTATGTCCAAACATGGGTATCACCGCGGAACGGTCTTGATTCGCTGCCCGTCTTGTCTCAACCGCCACGTTATCGCCGATCACCTCAATATCTTCATGGATAAGAAGAGCACTCTCGAGGACATCCTGCAGCGGGAGGGGAAGCGATTGACTCGTGGTTATGTGGACGGAGATATGGAGTTCTGGGAGGATGGGACAGTGAAGAAGCGCGAGGAAGCGGGTGAAGGCTCAGAGGCGAACCAGGACCAGGGACCGACACCTTGATTCATTTATCGAGCTTTTCCGGGATTCAGTCTTTTACAGAAGAATTCCTACGAGACTTAGCACAGGCTGATGGCGTTCAGTCGTTGCGTTGATAGGCGAGAGTGCTCGGGGCATGCTCAATGCGAAACTAGAGGCGTTAGAAGGTGTTGACTTTGGTAGAGATGCATTGAGCATTGTTTGTATATATCTTCTCCACTTCCTATAAATGTACATTCAAATTCAACTAATGACCCTTGATAAGACTTTGGTATTTTAGCTGGATGGGCAAAGACACAAACCGTGTCGCGACAAGATATAAATAGATGGGCATAGTATTGCGGTTGCTGGGTCTAGAACACAATTGCATAGGATATCATTCATTTATATACACTGTTCCCAGCTCTTGCAATAGACAACATTATATCTCAATATGTACTCTATCTCATAATCCAATCACACTTTTTATATATCCCAACGCCGAGCCAGTGCAACAACATCCCAGTGAACAAACAAATCCAAACCAGACAACGGCATCTACCAGCCGCGTCTCTTTCCCCGTTGTTCCATTCCCTTTTCCTTGCGCTTCTCGCGCTTGCGGTCGTTTCGCCTCTTCTTGTCCCGCTCGTACTTCTCGGGTTCTGCTACCGCCTCAATGCGTCTCTTCATTCGACGACCCTCACGTCGCTCTTTGATGGAGTCCTGGACAGACGCCATCTGGGTGATGTACTCCGTAGTGCCCAGTTTCTTCTGAAGCAGGTCGAGGACTTCATGGCAGTTCGAGACCAGTGCCTTGTATGACTCGCGGAAGCGTTCATCTGACGAGCGAGGAGCGGGAATTGACGGGTCGGTCAAGTGTTGAAGAGGAAGAAGGATCGTGGGCAGCGAGGGCCGGATCTGATCGGTTTCAAGATGGCGGCAAAGGGCAGCGAGGAGACCAATGGACGCGCTCTTGGGAATCAGTGAATGTGCCTTAGTCGTGAGGAGTTCTCTGCGTAGAATTGAGGAGATCTGCTGGAAAATGTACTGGATGGCAGGCTTGTCAAAGCGCTCCGTGTGCCCGTTAACGTTTTCTTCGTCGCCTTCGTCTTCGTCTTCACTGTCGCTTTCGCTCAATTCAGCATCTTTAGACCCACTGGTGGGGAACACAAGACCGTTCTGTGCGCAACACCGGCCAAGGAAGATAACGTTGCGGACGGTTTGCATAGCAAGTTCTTCACTTATACCAGGAGTGCGGAGACAGCGGAGACAGGCGCGGATCAACTGTAGCATGGCGTCCTTGTCGAGCGCCAGACCTGTAGAGCCAACCAATGGAATCGACCCATAGCCATTCGCAGCATTAGTCCTGCCTAGATCTGCAAACCATGTACCGACAAGGTTAGAGGCGCAAGTCTTGACCCAAGCATGAGGGTAAAACAGGCACTCTCGAACAGCAGCCCAGATCGGACCGCGCTCTTTGGCTAGAGCCACAGCAGGGACGGCCTTGCAAAGCTTAGTAAGGAGCTGCAAGGCGAAGTAAAGCACTTCCCAATGTTCAGTCTCGTCGCTCTGAAGAATTGGCTGCATGATCTCGGGGAGGATTCCCATGACAAAACGGGCTTCTTTGTCCTTCTCTGTCTCCTCAACCTCGAAGTAGACCCTCATTGCTTGTAACCCAGTACTGGTCAGAAGAGGGTTTTCGGTTTGCTCGAGCCAAGACCGGATGGGTGTGAGCATGGACTTCATTTGTTCCCTGTCCGCTCTACTAAAGAGCTCGCCAAGTAGCGCACCTGCCATTTCTCTGCACTCAGGTGCATCGTCATTCGCCATGGCCATGACCACCGGCAAGAAAAATGTACCCACGATGTCTTGAGCCAATTCGGTTCCTGTCTTGGCCAAGAGCATGTGTACAGCTTCCATCACAGATTGACGACCTTCTTGGTGCTTGTAGTCCAAGTTCTTAGCCAGGAAACTCAGTTGCTTCGCCCATCGATTCTTGGCTTGAGGATACTCAATCAAGAAGTGAATATAGGTGCCGCGTGCCAGATCACGAGCCGAACGAGTTTGGTTCGTGACCATCATGGCTCCAATGTGGTCCATCAACTCATAGATTTCGGGTACCACAAACTTCCTGGCCATGACCGCGCGAATGAAGTTGAACGTCACGCCCTGGCGGTCTGGCTCTTCGATGTCGGAGACCAGACGTTGGAGGAGGTACGCCAGGTGCCCATCTCTGAGTTTAGCGCTCTTCCTCTCTCGCAGCATAGCCGACACTAACTTCAAGGACGCCTGTGCAGCCTCGGTGTTGGTACTTGGTGCCTCCTTGATGATCTTGACTGCTTCGGTGAAATAGACGTGAGCATTGTCATCAATATCTGCAAGAGGAAGCTTGATGATAGTCGACAACAGGCGAACAGCCGCGATCTTCACTTCCTCGTGGGCCTGTATTAACGAATCGCCGATGATGGGGATGAAGCCAGCCAGGTTGGTAGGGGTGAGCAGGGAGTCATATTTGTTGAGTACTGAGCGCAACACATCGAGCGAAAACCGAGTCAGCTTGTAGATATGAGAAGAGGTCGTCCCACGTTTGTCGCCTCTCTTTGCGCCTTTGAGGTTCACCAAATAACGTTGTTCACGAAACGAAACGGAGGGCTCTTTCTGAACTTCCGCCGGATCGCGATATGTCTCCTTGATGACTTCATAGCAGAATACGAGGATGTCACGGCTTTCAGCGCCTGGGTTCCTTAACAAACCCACTCCAATTCTCCGCAAGAGTTCGTCGAGTTTTTTGACCATACTAGAGTTTAGCTTCTCACGCAACAAGGACTCCAATGGCCGCAGCAGATTCGCAAGATTTCGGACAGTCGCATTCTTCGCCAGCAGTTCCATCGAATCATAACTCTTACTGCTCTTGACTTCCTTCATCTTGCTCACATAATCCTCCGCATCTTTCTCCTGGCCAACCACCCCAAAGGTGTCATCCATCACTACGGCACTGAGATCCGCTAGGCAGTAATCCAAGTCTCCTTGCTGGAAATCATCAGTCGTCGCCACGAGCATCGAGTGAACTGTAAAGGAAAGAACGTGAAGTTGATAACCCTTCGTGAGCGTGCTGCGAAGTTCCCTAAGAATGTATCCGAAATAGTTAGGACCCAGCAGAAGGGCAATCTCATTAAGTGTCTTTCTAGCGGTGTCTCGCGCGTCTTGAGATCGGCTTTTGAGAATGCTGCATACATCCAAAAGAACAGGAGGCAGACGAATTGCCATATCCCGCTCGGGTAACAGCTTCAGAAGCTTGATTGTAGTGATCGCAGCTGGTAGACGCAAGCTCATCTGAGCCTCATCTTTGTGGTGGATGAAGTCAGTCAGGAAAGGAATGAAATTTGTGGTCAGTTCTGTAGCGACCTTAGCAGGCGACGGCATAGTCCGAGCAAGGTTGCACTTGGAGGGCGCGGAGACCTCAATGCCTTCCATGCTGTCGTCGCCGGTCTTCTGAACCACTGTCTTTTGGCTCATTGCGTTGCTTAAGGCATCCGCCATTCTCCCTAGAAGCCTCAAAATGTTCTTTTCCATCTCAGACTTGCTCTGCATGTACCCACGGTATCTCCGAAAGATGGCTCTGAATTGGTTCCAGTCCAACCATTCTGCAAGGGCTCCGATTGTGGCAACGGCTTCCGCAATCAAATTGTGACCACCTTCATCGACTTCCTGGTCGAAAACAAAGTGTTCATTGAGTGGAATGAAAATCGTGCTGATATTCGAAGCCTGGAGACTACCCTTCGCTGCTTCGCCAGCAAGACGGCGGAGAGCTCGAAGACGGCGATGCTGTTGTATGTGGAGAATATTCGTAAAGAACGACGCCTCCTCGTCGTCACCAACGAGAAGCCCATGCATATCTTGCACATTTGGCCTGGTGGGATTCATTTTGACAAAGTAGCCAAGAGTAGACACGAATTCGGTCCGAACCAGCTCTGATTTCTGTCGGATTCCGCTCTGCAAAGCTGGGAATAGAACTTCTTTGACGAGGGGTTCAAACTCATCAGCGCCGGCCCCCTCTTCCTTGGTCGCTCTCTCAATGAACCGCTTCAGTCCAAAGGAAGCACTTGACCTGATAGCAAGTTCATCTTCATCCTTCACATGGAATAACATGTTATAGAGGAGGGGACGCCACTGTTTCGCATCCAGGGTCTCCCAAAGACTATCATTGATTTGTGCGAAGGCTTGGAGACGACGCTCGTAGTCAACTTCCAGTTTCTTTCTAGAGATCGAGTTCAGGTCCGCACAGAGCTCGGCCACTTTATCTAGAGCAGTATCGTGTTTCACAAAAGCCGCGAAAACCCTGGACAACACCTCTCGGTTCGCATCATCTCTGAAGTAATCAAACATGGACGAAACTGCGTCAAACACCTCTTGAAATAACTTTGGATCTTCCTCAGGGTTGAAGAGAGGCAGGAAGTGTTCGAGGATGCGCAGGAGACCAGACTTGGTTTTGGGAGACACTCTATCCGCTGGTTGACGCAGGAGATATGTCGTGATGCTCACCAGTTCCGTGGTTTCCTGGAACGATTCGACACATGGTGCCAGGAGAGAGATGGTCTGTACCCCAGATATCAAGACCGTACGGGAAGGTCCACGTTTCAGGAGGCGGCCAAGGTGAGAGAGTGTATGCTCGATATAAGGTGACAAGACTTCGGATCGAATCTCATCTGCCGAGAAGTCGCTCATTTCTTCTTTCTCTTCCAGCTCTTTTCCACTAGCGAGTCTGATAAGAGGGACCAGAATCTCGTCCATCACGTACACCTTGACCTCGTCGCGAGCAGATTCCACGCTGAGACAGTCGACGACTCTGGTGAGGACGGCATTGTTGTGGCGCACAAGATAGAAAGAGGACCTGGGGGCGGAGGCCCAGGTATGGAACAGCCTCAGTAGACCCGAAACTCCTTGAGCCGTCTCGATCGCGAAATTTTGAAGACGAGGGTTGATCACTTCGTCGAAGATGAGACGAATGTACGCAGACCAGTCTTTGTCCAGAGAGACGGCGAAGATCAGCTCAAGGCAACGGATACAAGTATGCCGGATGTTGCGGAACACGGTCAACAGTCTTCCTTCAGGAGAATCCGCAGCGATATCGGAGTGGTCTTTCTCTAGCTCTCGACAGGCTCTGACCAAACAGTATAGGACCGCGTCCATGGATCGCTGGGCATATAGAGCCATTCGGCTTTGCAGCGTGTCGAACACTGTTTCGATCATCCTTAGCAGTCCCATCTGCCTCCTGGGGCTAACCAGGTCTCGAGCAAATGCTTCTTGGTTGACTTGCCCCTCTTGTAACAAGGAGACATCTCCAAGAGGACCAAACGATACCCGTATGAAAATTTCGAATTCGCTATCGGGGAGCTGTGACAACGTCCGCAAAATCGCCTTTCTGCGTCCAACTTGGCCAGCTTGGCCACTTGCACTAGCTTTCGAAATCATTCGTCCATACAAGAGGCGTAAGAGGACCGGAAGAAGTTCACCTCTATGGGCTTCTTCAATCAAGCTGTCGTCACCACCAACATGTACGAAAACAGAAAGCTCGTCTTTGAAGCGTGACTCGTCCAGAATGTTCAACAGATTTTCTTGGTACGGCATAATGTTCGGTGATTTCCAGGTAAATAGAGCCTTGAGCGCGGACTTTTGAATCTCTGAATTACCATGGCAGAGCAGTCCAAGAAGGGCGTCATGGACCTCTGATGCCTTGAACAGCACCCGAGGATTGGCAAACTTTCCGAGCAGCCCAAGGAACGACAACCGGTCATGGAATCCCCAAGGAATGTATGAATCGTCGGCGCTTTCGGCATCATCGTCATCGCGTAATGCCCACGCAAGGAACAGGGGGACAATCAGGCGCGATTTCTTCTCGGCGAGAGCAGGTGCTGCATTAAGGACACGCAGAGCATGGGTTCGAGGGGCCACAGGAACGACATCAGAGAGCTCATGATCTCTCTCGAACCCTTCCAATAGCTTTGAACTGGGCGGCACCGCAGCATTGAAATGAGAGGCAAGACGATCTTCAATATTAGCCGCATTGAAGCATTTAAAATTTCCAGTTGTATGGTATTCGGCCTCGTCGTCCGCTTTATCCGCGGTATCGGTCGAGCCGCGCTCCTGAAGCCACTGAAATGCCAGGTCCGAAACGATGTTTTCGCCTGCTGAATGCTCGCTGATCGACTTTAGCGCAGCAGCCGAATCCTCCCACAGCGGTGCCAATTTCTTTGAGAATAGACCAAAGCAGAAATTGGGGATCAACCTGGCCATCCATCGCTGAGAAGCCACTTGCGGGTAGAGGATGGCAAGCTTGCGGACATGCATCGACAGTACTCGTGCAGTCTGCAGATTAAGCGGGCTATCTTCAACTTCTATGGCCAAAGAAATGGGCGCAGGATCTTCTCCTGAAGCTTGTACCAACTCTCGCAGGATTTTCAACGACAACAATCTAACTTCTTGGGAAGGGCCCGCGAGGTTGGTAATTAAAACGTTTGCGAAATCTTCCAGCGCGGGTTGTCCGAAATCCAGCTTCGTGGAGCAACTCGACACATAAGCCAAGATCGCTTCGAGGAACGGTTGAACCCTTGAGTATTTTGCAGCAGCAGAGCCGATTTCACTCCAAAGGGCCGAATCGACACCTTCATTAGAAGCAGCCAAATTCACATAGGACTTAAAACCTTGGCCAAGGAAGAATTTTGTGGAGGTGGATACATCAAGTTCACTCTCGTTCAAGACGCGGGATAAATGATCATGAAGACTGCGAGTCATATCGGGTAGAAGAGAGGGTTCCGTGGTCAGAGATATGGCGCTGGGAAGCTTCGAATATGCATTGAGAAGAGCCACTTCAGTGGCACTGGGCCCATGGCTGCCCAGCATGTCCTTGATACGGGCCTTCCAGGGAGTTGGGCAGGTGACATAGCCAGGTTTAGAGACTTCCGAAGTGATACAACCTGCCTGGTTCAACCGGAGCAAAGTCAAACATAACTCGTATTCATGCTCTTGCCATGAGGAATTGACGAACCTAAGGCTTGGGTGTTAGTAGGTAGAAACATCAGCACATATGCAGTCTGACTTACTTCTGAAAGTAAGGAAGAACAACGCTATGGAATCTCTCCGCGCCCCATTCCGAAAACGTAGCACAGAACGAAAGAAAATAAGCCGAGAGCTGTTCCTTTGCGACAGCATCCATGAGCGGGCGCATGAACGGTAACATCTCGTCCATAGGAGACACCTGGAGTGCGTATGCCACGGTTGTCAGAAGTTGAGGGATCGAATCGGCATACGCGCCAGGCGCAGCCGAGGCCTTCTGAAGCAAGAGCAACAGAGTCTGGTGAACGGGCTTCCAGTTCTTTATACGTGACCCTTTGCGGGTACAAACACAGATGAACATCAAACGGCAGTACAAGTTTGCGTGTTGTTTGTCGGACTTCTTGCGATTGGCTTCGATATAGGAATTGATCGTCTCGACGATTGGTTCGTATGTGTCGGCAGTCGTATTGTGATTGACGTTAATAAGTACCCCGCTTACAACCTCGACTGCTAAGCTGCTGCGCAATTCATTGCCGGTCGGAGCATTATCAAGGAGACAGTTGAGAATATCGGTTGCGTTCGAGTGTAGCCCGCCTTTGACACCCTTGACCGCATCCGAGAACATAGCCATCAGCCCTTCCTTGTACGTCTCCACATCCTTCGAATCCGCAGCCGCCTGGTGCAAGTCGTCAAGCAAGAATGAAACTGCATGCTGTAATGGAGCCTTATTTTTGTAGTATACGAGTCCGGCCTTTCGAATGAGGAATGACATTGACTCGGCGGCAAATCTAGCGACGAATGGCTTCTGGCGTTCTTTTCCGAGGTAGGGTGTCATGATGCCCAGAAGCTGTCTCAAATCTGGGACAAGCAGACGAGAAAGAAACTTAAAGATCCATGCCAGGCATGTAAAGCTCCATTCGACAACCTCGACATCAGGATGAGTGGCTGCGACGGACGCCACGAGAGTTACGGCGGTAGCAAAGTGTTTCTCAAAGCGGACCCCCAGATCTCTCGCAAATTGAGCAAGCAGTGTTAGCAGCGGTTCAATAGAAAGCTGGTCCCTCTTCTCAATATATTCCACCAGTAATCCCATAATCTTGTCCTCGTGGTATAAAATCTGGGCAAGACTTTCACATAGCGGGTTGACTTTTCGTGCGAATTGCGAAAAATTGTCCGAGAGGTTCAGCTCAATCCAGTGGTCAAACGCCGACCGAAAATACGAAGACGTCTCATCTCCATCTCCTTCTCCTTCTTCGCCAAAGCTCGGACGGCGCACTCGATGAATCGGGTCGATCTTCAATTTCGCGACACGCTGAGAGAACGGTTCGAACCGATGCGACTTCGTTGTCTCTGTTCCTTTCTTCACACGCTTCACGGACGCTGTCCGTGAAGTTGATGATGTTGCCACCATCTTGAAGATCGACGGCGACAGGGAGAGCAACGCCGATAAAATCGTTGCAGTGTTTCTGTCGAGAAACGCTTTCGTAGTGCTTGTCAATACAAGGGAAAAAAAGTTCATCGGCGGCCGCAGCAGAATTGTTCCGGTGCGGAGATTAGCGTCGGCCTTAGGCCGGATTGGCTCTAACCTAGTCTGGAATAGTACAAATAACACGTGAGAGCAGCGGGTCTAAAGCTCTAAGCTTCTTTAGGATCCGCCTTCGAGCCAAAAATGGTGATGTCGATGTCTTCGCTGCTGTTGATGTCAAGTATTCAATTACAACAAGGATTTTCTCTTTTGCAGCAGCATAAGTAGATTGGCCTATTTACCGCTACTCCAGCAGTGTCAAAGGAGATAAAGATTTCTGCTTGGTTCTCAGAGAAACAATCTTTCTTCAACTATGTTGATATTAGCTGTTGCATCATAGGGTTCAGAGTATACTTAATTGAAGAATGGCTTCGAAAATGTAAGTTATTCTTTCTGCAATTGGTACTCGGTTTGCTAACGGAGATCTAGTGTTGTGATTGGGAGTGTGAACTGTGAGCTGCGCGAAGTGTTCACCAAGCTCGCCAAGTTACACGTCAAGCAGAACTTCTCAATCGCGATCATTGTTGGGGACCTCTTCGGAGATTGCTCGACGGAGCATGAACTGGATGAGATCACTGCCCTGTTGCAGGGGAACATCAACGTACCCCTGCCAACTTACTTTGGGTTAGGCAACCGACCCCTTCCCACCAGGATAGTGGAAAGAATCGAGGCGAACGACGAAGTTTGCCCGAATCTGTACTTCCTGGGCAAACGCGGTACTCTTAAGACCGCGGAAGGCATCCGTCTTGTTGCCCTTGGTGGTAACCTCGAGACAGACAGCAACGCAACCAACAAGTTCCATCCCGGCTATACAGAATCTGACGCCCGGGCACTCTATGGAGCCCACAGTGCGGACATCCTGATCACTCACCAATGGCCCAAGGGCATCCGAACCGGGTCCGGTGCGCCGTTACCGGAGGGTGCCAAGGTGCCCGAGGAGGTGCAATGCATCGCGGACCTCTGCTCTACCTTGAAACCTCGATACCATCTTTCCTCGTCTGATGGATTCTTCTACGAGCGCGAGCCATTCTTCCACATGCCATCAGAGGATAACCCGGACGCCAAACTCCTCACCCGCTTCATCAGCCTGGCATCCTACAGCAAAACATCCAAGCAAAAATGGATGTACGCCTTCACTCTGGATCCCAAGGCCCCTGCACCCCTTACCATTCCCGTCGGCGCTACTGCAACCCCTCTGGCTCCCATCCAAGTGAAGCGAAAAGTCCTTCCATCTCAGCGAGAATCCTACCACCGCTTCGCCGGCACCGAAGAAGATCACAGCCGGCCGCGCAAGCGCGCCCGAGCCCCTCCGCCAGGGCCGGAGCAATGCTTCTTCTGCCTCTCCAACCCCAACATCGCAACCCATCTCATCACCTCCATCGGCAACGAAAGCTACCTCACAACCGCCAAAGGACCCCTCTCCACCGCCAAAACCTTCCCCTCCCTCAACTTCCCGGGCCACATCCTCATCATCCCCTTCACCCACACCCCCACCCTCTCCAGCATCACCGACCAGACAGCCCGCCAGTCAACCTACGCCGAAATGCAGCGCTACCGCTCCGCCCTGCACGCTATGCTCCAGCAGCGCAGCAACGGCGGCCTCGGCGCCGTCACCTGGGAAGTCAGCCGCGGGTCCGGCATCCACATCCATTGGCAATTCCTGCCCGTCCCCGCCGACCTAATCAAACGCGGCCTCGTCGACGCCGCCTTTAGAGTCGAGGCCGAGAACCTCAACTACCCCAAATTCGAGCGTCCCTCCGCAACCGCCGACCCCAGCAGCGAACCGGGCGATTTCTTCCGCCTCTGGATCTGGGAGCCCCCGTCCGCCTCCGCGGCGGAAACTGAGAACCCCGACGGATCGGACGGCACCACCACCACCGCCAAAGGAACGGAGACGACGCTCCTCCTCCCCCTCGGGCCGGAATTCCGTTTCGATATTCAGTTCGGGCGGCGCGTGATGGCCAAACTGATGGAGTTGGAGAACCGGATGAATTGGAAGGATGGCGTGCAGCCGCAGGAAGAGGAGGAGGCGGATGCTGCTGCGTTCAAGGAGGCATTCAAGGAGTTTGATTTCTCGTTGCAGGAGTGAGTCACTGACGGGCGTTGGTCTTTTACTGGGTTGGCGGTTGTCCTTTGCGCCCATAGACTTTGCTAGCGGGTTGTCTGAGTAGAAGATACCCCATGGAGAAAAGTAATTACTGATGGTGACATCCCTCAATTCGGGGTCACATTAATTGGGGCCTTGTTTTGGGGTCTGTATATCTCGAAAGACGTATTTACTACTGTGTCAAGTTTTATATTTGTTTTTGACTAGGTCAGATAATTTTCCATCTACCTAACCTAACAGCGATCCGTATCAACTGGTAATCAACCATGAATAGAATGGTATACATCAAAGAAGAAGACATCAAAACCCAGGCCCAAGACAGTCATTCACATGTGGTCCAGGAGTAATCGTGAGAAGCAGAAGGGATAATGCGAGGCGAACGCTCCGTCATGTAGCAGGCGGCCGTGATTCCCATAAGACCGAAAAGTAAAAAAAAAAAAAAAAAAAAAAAAAAAAAAAACCTCCTTGAGAGTATGGGCTGGCAAGCATAAACGAGCAAGGCCGTAGGCTTTTAACCCAGAATGATCATACACATCACATATATCCGAAATGGGGTCACAAGCTTTTGGAGAAAATACAAAAGGAGACAGGACTTATTCAAGGGTCCCTGCGTGGCTCAGTTGATATGCTAAACATCCCGATATGAGTTAGGTGCGGGCTTTCGCCCGCTTTGTAGGATACTCGGGGGCCGGCCCGGGTCGCTCACTTCGAGAGGAACAGGATTCGTCGCCGAGAATGGTGGAGGTGGAGATGTAGGAGGGTTCGGGGACATTCCTCTGTATGATGGCGGCATGCTTGACATGCCTGGGGAGGGTTGGCGGTAGGGCAGATGACGGGGCATCTCAGCGGAAGGTGACAGTGCTGTAGGCATGTTTGAGTACTGCGTTTGCGAGCTGTAAGGAGCCGGGTTTCTGGGCATAGGTTGCGAAAAGCTCTGTGGAGAATAGTCATGATATGAGCGATCATAAGGGGAGATTGTGCCCTGATTATAGGGCCCAGAGGAATCATGGTTATACTGGCGCTCGTCATCGTAGGGCGAAGACGCGTGAAAATAGCCGGGAGAAGAAGTCTGCGTTCTAATGGGAGGGACGCCCATTTGCCCAGGGCTATTGAACCTCCCAGGTGACTGCACTCGCTGATAGTCCTGGTGCGCGGGATTCAAGGGCTCCATCTCCATCGTATCCTGATGACTGTTATCCTCCACTCTTCTGGTGACAGCATCATTCCAACTCGGCATCGCAGGCAGCGCATCCTCATTCACCTTGGCAGGTGCAGGGCTGGTTGGCGACTCAAACCGCGCAACCTGGGCTCCACGGTAAACCGGAGGACCTGGAGGAGCACGATAACCATCGTTTGCCGGCATCGGAGGCGGCTGATGATAGCCCGGGTCATCAAGATACTTCGCTCTTGGAGCTTTGTTGCGAGGGGACGGGCAGCAACACGAGCAGCACCGGCAACAGCCCGTGCAACACTGGATACCGCAGCATAGACAATTAATCACGCACGCAATCACAGAGATGATGATGACTGCGCCGATAATGATACCAACGATGACGGGCCATCTGATTTAAGCTCAGTCAGCACATCGAACTAGATGGGACCAGAAACCGCGCAACGTACTTGCAATAAGTTTTTGCCATGCACTTGTCCCAACTCGAGAATGTATCCGGCGCAGACTTGAGGTCGCCGACTACGTCCCGTGCCCATAGTGAGAGCGAGGGGCGATCGACTGGACTCATGACGCAGGTTTAAGAGGATTATCTATCCTCTGTTGCCCCTGGCAGATAGGTTCTTCCACAGATCACAAAAATTCAGGTGTTCCCTTCTGACGCTGCACTACTGGTTGCCTGGCGATTTAGTGCAATCCAATGCGACAATGCCAGGGCGAGATAAGCGGACGGGGAAAGAGGTGATTTAGGTCGTACGAGGCTGTCATAGATCGCTGGAAACTCGATCTACAGCAAGAATCCGGTGATAGAATAGTTTCAGTCAAGTAAGATCTCAGAAGATCGCATGTCATCCGGCGTCAGGGCAATTCGCCGGTCTGTGGTGGTTAGAGCAAGTAGGCAGCAAGTAATCTCGACTGCCGAAAGAGCGTTGGAATTGGATCTTAGAGAGGTTGATACTCGAACAAGAGTATATACACAAGCCTTTGAAACGTAGAGAATGAATGGATAGGATAAGAAGGATCGAAGATGAAAGTAAGGCGAGTCGAGTTGCTGACGAGATGCGTCTCAGACTTGATGCACACCCGCCTCCAAGTATCTTATCCGACAGCCGAGTGCAAGTAACCCCTCCAAGTGGTCGTATTTTTAAAAGAAAGTAAGAAGGTGAAGAGGCGAATGAAAAGAAAACAGCAGAACCGAAGGAGTCATAAGATTTTTTTAAAAAAAAAAAAAGAAGATCTAGAGGGAAGAAGAAAAAAAGCATTGACTTGGGAAAAAGGAAGGTTGGACAAGAGGAGGCAGAGGGATAACGATAGGCATGATTATCACGCGGGGATCAGCAATAAATCATACCTGTAGAAAGAGGTAGGTACCCGTACTCCATACACGGACCGCCTATCGCAGCAGACGGGAAAAATGCTGACAGGTGCCGTGAATGGTTGGTTCAGTCGGTTGGAATGGGCTAAATAATGTTAACCAAAGGTTTACCAACGGGAGGATTAATCTCCCATCGCACGGTTCGCACCAGCCAAGAACTTCTACTTACGAGGGTCGGCAAATGTTTGCAGGCACATGGTTGATCGATAACTGATAAAGTAATGGTACTCTCCACCGGGTGTTTGCCCTTGCAAATTTGTCGATCGCTCATTTCATTCGGCTGTGGATTTCAATATAATTGGTAGTTGTGATCCACAGAGGCTTCGAAATGGAGGATCTTCTATACGAAGTCAAGTCTACGAAGAGCATGATTTACGTTGTTCTGGATATTTCCGATGGAGAATAGATAGGTATTAGCATCCTACTTTGTGCGCAAGGGAATGGAATGCCAAGTATGGTGGTAAATAGTACGATCTGGATGAAGTACTGCTCCTCCGAGGAAGGCTGGACGTGGCAACAGAATATATAACGGAAGCACTTGACTTCATGCAAACAGGGAAGAGGACATTCTGTATCGCATAAATATCTCTGATTAAATAAATTATAGCACATGAATTTCCTAGGACGGGTATGATGGATACTGAAAGCTCCCATGAAGTAAGCCCTGAAAGTCACGAGCGCGAGATTTTCCCTTTAGGTCATGGAATTAAGAATCGATGTAGAGACGAAATATAGAGACTCATGGTAACATCATAAAGTCCTTCACAACTGCAGACCTCGCCAATTATGAAGGAAAGAGCGGAACGAGAGACAAGGTATCCCAACACTGCCGAAAACGCCGAAACGAACAACAGTGCTCCCTGACCAAAGAATCACTCAAGATCTAGCAGACACCAATGCTCCTAGTACCAGTGCACGCATTCCGCAGCAACCTACACCTTCGGTCCGTTCTGAGGTGGCGGCCCTGGCGGAGGCTGGTATACTCGGTCACCTCCGGCGTTATAAGCGTGCGGTGGTGACTGCAGCTCGATGCCCGTTTGTTGTCCACCAAAGTAACCATGTGTCTGCGGTTGAGGTGTATACTGCGGTGGCGGCTGATGTTGATAGTAGGGATCTCCGTAATATGGCTGATTTGGCGGAGGAGGGCCTGGAGGAGGTGCAAGCCAAGCGGTCCCGGGATGAGGCCGGAGACCGCGATGGCGACGACGACGAGCGTTATAACATCTATCAGAAGCAATTAGCTGATATTCATGACGCTAGGGAGAGAGAAGACGGTGACATACGCAAGAAGGAAGAAGATTATGAAGGCTGCGCCGACGATCACAGCAAAGGCAACCCAGCGGCCCCAGCTATACCAGGCGCTGTCGTTGCATCTACCAGTCCAACTATCGTAATAACTAAAAGGCAGTTAGTCACTCACTCGACTTGAATGTCACAGGCCTCGATGGAATAAATACTCACCATGTTTCTCGCTGATAGAGGATCCCCATGGTGGTTGGAGAACCTCTTCGATTCACGGCCTGGTGTGGATGACGTAGATCGGGCGGTGGACGGAGAACTCCTGCAACCGTCAGATACTGGCGGTAGACGGTCGTACAAGGAAGAATGCGAGTCAAATATGCTTGATGGGAGTGACAAGAAGGTATGTAAGGGAGGAGAGGAGGAGAGATTGAAGACGACAGTCTGGTAGCAGGTACTGCGTGAAGTTTTTAGAGAGCTGAAGGCAGCAACAAAAAGAGTGGGCGATGGAGAATGGGCGAATGGCCCGGGTAATTATGGGGACGCTCCGCCGATCGGATTGGGTGTTAAGGCTGTGGCTGTGCCCTGGCTGAGAGCCTGAGACAAATCCAGAGGTACCTAGGTACCAAGTGACTCCTCGATGGCTGGGGTGACTTGGCGTTGATTATATTACTACTCTAAGCTAGAGGCACCCTAGCCATACGAGTATAATTCATTTAGAGGATGGATAGTCACGAGATCGTTGTCTTGGACGAGGAGGCGCAGACAAAGAGTAGCCCAAATTGACTTTGTAGATTATTGGCTGCTTGTCAGACTTCTAACAATCACTGAACTTGTAGAGAGGTGCACATAACAGAGGATAAGGCAGGTAGCTACATATGAGGACCGCCATAATGAGCGCCGAGCCCTAAGAAATAATAATAAGCATCAAACAGTCTTCCAGTAGTTGTCCCTCGGAGCTTCTAGAATATCCACAAATTACCACTTTTCTATGGCTTCACAATCCATCTGCCTCCAATTGTCCTTCTTGTTTGCCACTTGCTCTCTGCGTCCTCTGTGACTGCATATACCCGTCAACCAACCGGCGTTAAAAAGTTCCCGACTTCAGTCTGACTGTCACATGAGATGGGTCCGCAGAAGAAGAGAGTCAGAAGTTGTCAGTCCTGTATAGACTACTTCTGAATTTGGGTCAATATCGTTAAAACGACTCATAGGACATCGATGTACCCCGGTGGCCTTGAGCGTCCGCATTGGATTATCGATCAAATAAGACCCGGACTATCTACTCCGTACTCTAAAACGGATACTGTCAGCATCGATGAGTGGACAGTTCAAGAGTGGTCAACTCAGTGAACTACTAAATAACTCTACCTTTCTTGAACAAAGGACGCAACAAAACCTGTAAAGCGCACGGTTTACAACTAGAGACTCTCGTCAAAAACCTACAACATCTAACTCGCGATTTGATGCCTTGTTCCGCCAACCATAATCCCCCATCTACCTTTTGACAGGGAAGGACCAAGATACGATGGCAACGCCTGTCTCGCGAGCTTGTGGTTGGCGGGGCTGGATTCGCTGGAAGCCCACGGCAGGGCTTGTTTAGTTCCCGTCTTCCCATCTGCAATGCCAACGCATCAGTTGGTGTGTGTGTGGTCAGTGGCCACTGTTGGACCTCTTCAGTGACAGCCATAAATAAGTTGGCTGGGTGTCGTTATCTCAACGCGTCTTTAAATTTCTCCTAGCGAGGTCGCCTACGCTCTCAGAAAACTGCCGAGTAGCGCTGGCCGTTCGGGATACTTGATTTTGCGCTTTCGCAGTGCAGCTATATCCTCTCTTACAGGCATTCTCTGGACCTCTACTGCTTTGATTAGGTTCTTCTTGATGGAATCAAATCAAGATCGCAGTAGAGGGCTAGCTTATTGTCAGCTGATCCGATGCCCCCCCGCCCAGCTAGACAGAACAGATATCCTTGGTGATGATACAAAAAATGGCTTGTTATCATTTGACAATAGGTGAGAACATACTTGTCGCAAAGGACTCCAAAACCGCGCAAAGAAAAAGGTCAATCGCTCCATTCATGTGCCTGGATCACATCATCACGGTCATTACAACTGAGGCGCGAGCCGATATTATGAGAATCTACAAGTGTTTGGGTTGAAGACGAGGATAAGGCGAAAGATGATAACGAGAGTCTGTGTTGTTAGGCCGTCACTGCAGGCTTTATCCCGCATATATCTCATCTGCTTGCTCTGGCGATCAACCAGTGCAAGACGGCGTCGAGGTTTGTCTCCTCCTTGGCACTGATTCCATAGCAGCTCACCTCACGGCGCGTGATGGACTTGAGATCCATTGCGTCTATGAGTTCGTCAACCGACAGTTTGTCCGGAAGGTCGGACTTGTTTCCCAAAACCAACAGAGGAATGCCGTCAAGCGAAGGTTTTTCCATCAGCTCGTGGAGCTCCTCTGTTGCGACGGGCAGGGCGGCACGATCTGCCGCATCCACTATATACCTGCATCAAGAGTTAATCATGGCTGGCTTGGGGTCAACGAACGAACCTTGATACTTACACAATCGCATTAACCCCTCGGCAGTATCGCTCCCACATTGGTCGAAACCGCGGCTGGCCTCCGAGATCCCAACTGTGTCAATATTTAGCTGGATGAATGCGACACCCAGAGTACTCTCGGACACTGACCACTTTAGAGTCACATGGCCTTTCTGGACCCGTTTCGTGTTGAATCCGATCGTTGGAATCGAGCTGTAAAGGCGAGGTTTAGCAACCCAAGACAAGGACAGCCCAGTTGTGGCCAGGCCAGGTCCTACGCGCTCCAGACTTACTCTACAGTGAACTCTCCTCCCTATCGTACTCGAACACTCCGCATTAGCATTGACGAATAGAAGAGAAGGAAACTGTCTGGTCGCTTAAGAGTGAAATAAAGCATACCGCAAGCACCCGCAACAGCGACGATTTCCCCGCATTCTGCAGTCCGATCATCGTGACATCCATCTCCGTCGCCCTACATTCGCAACATACATTTACCCCTCTTAGCAAGCCGAACCATTCAATGTCTTTGCGGGGACCGGGCCGGGAGAGCTATCGCCGACAGGGCGAATACTTTTTGAAACCGCGGCCCACTTACCAGAACATCCTCAGGAGCCAGTCATAGATCGTCCGAAAGATACCCGCCATATTGTGGATACGTCAGATCACTTCTTCTACTTCGGATAGAGGTCAGGAACCAAGAAACCGAATCAGTTGTGGTCAAGATCAGGATGAAAACAGGGTGCGTGCTGGGTTGGTGACAAATGACGAATGGACGTGGATATAAGTCGAGATCCAAGGCCCTGGAGACTTGGATCGAAGCGCGGGAAGTGGGGGTAGGCTGAAAGTCAGCCTCTTGGTGGTTTAGTATATTTGGTAGCCAGCTACCGCAGGAATGGTGTAGATGGGCTAAACCGCAGTCGAAAAGTTAAGGCAAAGTAAAAGCAAATAGTAAATGCGCGGGAGCAATAAGGAAAGCGGCTTGTGGAGAGACGCCCAGAAGGTTCGGGAGGATGAGGACACAAGGTCGAGCAAGTGGCTGTGAAGGGACAAGATTCTGCTAGAGAATAGAGCGCCAAAAGGAGCGGTAAGTCTTCCAGTAAATTTTGTAGTTACAAGCCCCAAGGAGATGAAGGTTAAAAAAACCAAAAGGAAATCCTTCTTGATACTTTGCGTTTTGGTGAAACTGAATTGCTTGGGATCTATGTGCACGCATGACCGACTCCCTCTGCGCCGCGGTGGAGGGGAGCGCTTAGCTTAGTAGCTCAATCAGGTCAATGAGACAATAATTTGGAATGGACAGGAGTAGCAATGTTAACAGGTTTAAATCTGATATTGACACGCATTTACCCCCTGATAGTCATTTAGACAGGTGACTTTTTGTCGTACCAAAGTGATTCATTGTGTTGTACTTGAGCCATCAATCAAGCCTTGTTATTATTGTGTCATGGGAAGTCTTTCTTGCTGTCTCCTAGAAAAGTCTGCCTTATTGCCTAAGGCGGCATCTGTGCTGCAGGGTGATCCTTGTGACGCTTGGCTATAATGCCCAAGGCAGCAAGGCACTAAGGCACATATCTGTCTCCTCTATCGGTATCAGCACGTGATGATATGTGTCCGTTGGTCCACCTCGAAAAATTTCCAGCATGAACGAGGTCTCCGACAGATTGTTCCGATCGACCTCTGCGACGCTCTGTCCCATACATTCCCTCGAGTCCAGTCTACATCGATTTTAGGACGCTTCTCTGGGTGAGGAATGGGACATTGAGTGTCCATATTGCACTTTTTTTTTTTTTAATCTCGTTGGGGCACGCATCCGGACTAGCCCAGTGCAGTTGAAAATCTTCTGTCGATTCCTCCGCACGGGTATAGTCAAGACAAGCAGAGAGGGAGGCACGGAGTGCCCGAAATTTTCCAAAAATGGCTCCTTCAGCGACTGATACCAATTGGTCCGTCGATTTTGATACCATCCGGCGGCACCAGCTTTTCAAGAACCCCCCCAAGGACCACACCGCATTTCCCTCGTTGGCGGCTGCCATTCGGCCACACCTTGACTCTTTCAACGCGCTTTTTGAGGGTAGCAAGGTCCTCGAAGCGGGTTTGAAAGACATTGGCATCAAGACCTTCTTGGATGGAGATGCTGAGACCCCCGAGGAGAAGAGAGCACGGAAAGCGGAGGGACGCCGACCTCCGAAACGCAACAGGCTTAATGTCCGAATCAGGGAAATCTTCCTTGAGAAACCGGCCATTCCCGCAACAAATAAATTCGCTACTCGTAACCGAAATATCTACCCTTCAGAAGCCAGAGAGAGACATGCTACATACCGTGGGAAGCTGCGCGCGAGGCTCGAGTATCAGGTTAATAATGGAGACTGGATGGAGTCGATCAGAGAACTTGGCCAGGTGCCCATTATGCTGAGGGTAAGTGTTTGAAATAGGAGATATCTAACTGCTTTTTCGCACACTAACAGCATTTGAAATCTAGACCAATCGATGCCACCTGGAGAAGGCGACTCCCCAGGAGCTTGTTCAGCACAAAGAAGAGTCGGAGGAACTGGGAGGCTACTTTATCGTCAACGGTAACGAGAAGCTCATCCGTATGTTGGTTGTCGGCAAAAGGAATTATCCCATGGCAATTGTCCGTGGTTCCTTCGTTCGTCGCGGTCACACTTACACCAAGTTCGGTATCCAAATACGATCAGTGCGCCCTG